GAACCTGATTTGATCTATTCCGAATATCCTATCCGAGTTTTGGATCAGAAAGATCGTGTTACTCGAAGGAGGACAATCAAGTTCTACAAGATACATTGGAATCAACATTCCGAAGAAGAAGCTACCTGGGAATCCGAAGATTACTTGTTAGAAAAATTTCTAGAGTTTCTTGCGTCAATATAGAATAATGTTAGGTTTGCTCTGTTATTGCGATCTATGTGTGTAAAGGAACCTCAGCTATTTTATGGACAAGTTTTGGATGTTTTTGGATTGACACATTTCCTTTTTTATTACTTATCCTATGACTTTGAATCTCGGGGCGAGATTTCTTTTAGGGGGAAGGATTGTAACACCACGAGTGTTTTAAATACTAAAAACTGTCATGTCATCATATGCATTGCAAAGCATTTGGTCTTGGTGAAAACTTTGATATGAATTCACTAAAACAAGTTTACAATTATGTTGTATGTGTTGTATTGTATTGTTTGAATCAAGTTTAAAGTTTTATTTGGATTTGAATTTCCGAAAATCCTAAATTCAGCATTTACGTTTTGCCCAAGAAAACCCATTTCAAAATCTGAGCACATTTTGGGGTTGAGCCTTAAAGCAAAAGTGTAGAGCTTGTTGAGTTGTACAAAGTTGGTTTTTGGAGTTTTCAAAGTTGTTTAGAAAAATTTGAAGTAATTTGAAAAGGCGTAATTCTTTAAATGTCCCATTTTTGAATTCAAATTTGCATTTCAAAATGTAGACCGAATTAGGGGGTGGTTATAAAAGCAAAGTTGTAGAACTTTGGATTTTGAACAACTTTTATTTTTGGAGATTTTTGAGTTGTTACATAAATTTGAGAATAATTGAGATTTTAAAACGAATGGCAATTTGGTAATTTTGGTGATCAGTAGCCACCGAAGCCACCTCATCGCCGGCGGCCTTCTTCTCGGTTCCAGGTGCGCGCGTGGCCGTCCTCAGCTTCGCGCTGGCATGAGGAAGGCTCCTGCGTGGCTTCTCCTTGCTTCTGAGCCGCGTTATAAGGCCTACGTCGCCGCCGTTCTTCTTCTCTTTCTTCCTCTGCTTTTTCCCGTCGCCACCACCATCGCTCCAGTGAGCTCGCGCCGTTGCCGTGGTGCATTTCCAGTCGCGGCAAAGCCCGTCCCAGCTTCGCCTATTCCTTGCGCAACCAGCCCACCAGCCTTGGTCTCTTGATTTCACCGAGGAACGCCGTTCTTCGCCTTTCTTCCTTGCGGCCGGCCGAATCACCGTCGACCTCGCCTCACCGCGGCCAGCGTTCCACGGTCTGTTCCTACTTTTGCTAAGCATACCGTCAGCTTTGCCATGTTTCCGTGGTGCTTTATGCCCAGTTGCTTGAACATTTCATCCACTACAGTCGCCGAAATGCCGCCACCGACGACCGTTGCTCCGCCGTGGCCGCTGTGACTATCGACCCGCGTCTCCATTGCTCCTCCGATCTTGCTCTTTGCTCAATCGAGTTCGGGGTGAGCTGCTGAACCTTCCCATGCACTTTGTTTAAGCTATACCGGCTTTGTTTTGCCAGCATCGTGCAGCCGCGCCGCCATGTCCGCCATGGCCGTCGTCAAGCTCGATTGGTGCAGTGATCGATGCAATATGTTACACCAGTTGATGCGACTTGCCTTTGTGATCATGTTGGTACTCTCGCCGTCGCCGTTAATCCCACCGACAGCGAGAAATCGCCGGTCAGCACGCCGTCGCCGTGGTCAGCGCGCGAGGACGGGGATGACAGGTGGGGTCGGGCTGTCAGTGGCGGGTTATTTGAAATGGATTTTTCTATTTTCAGAAATAGATGAATAGTGTATGTTTTTGTTATTTTTTTGTAGAATTAATTGGAGCTCCAAAAATTATGAAAATTTTTGTTTGATCTCTCTGTGATGTATACTATTTAGGAAAAATATGAAATGTTGTTTTTTAGTACTCTTTGAATGTGATAAAAATTGCTCAATTAATTAATAAATGGGTTTCCATGATTTTTCTAGGCTTAAATATTTATCCAAAAATTATGAAAATTGTTTTGCCACTTATTTATCATGTGATGAACCTTTACAAAAATTTTGAGCTCAATTGAAATAAGTTGATTTATTTCATAATTTTGAATTAAATAATTAATTCATAAAAACAAATAGTAACATTTAATGATTTAGGTTTTGATTGAATTTTTGGATTGAGTGATGACCTTGGGTCATTAGTTGGTAGTGATCTTTGGCAATTGATGTAAGTGTTAAGAAAAAGGTTTAGTTAATTTGACTTGTAACTGTACCGCGAAGGAAAGTTGTATTTAAGTTGTTAATTTTGCATCCATCATCGAGCATCATATTTTGTATCTCGCATCATGTTAAGCATGGTATTGTTACTACGTGTAGTAAACGAAGGTGAGCACGTGGTAGTTAATCAAGTTGTGGAGGAGGTTGATCCGCCTGTTGAGGTCGGATTTGATATTTGTGGGACGACTCCGAAACCAGTCTTTTCCGTCAACGAAGGCAAGCCCCGGATGTATTTAAACCTACCTTGTGTTTTACAAAGTTATTTTGCTTTTGCATTTCGTTACTGCATTAAGTGATTTATAGTTAAGTGAAAACCTAATTGGTGCATTACCAACCTTGTTTTTCCATATCTACCTTGTTACCAGTTTTAATTCGTATATGCCTAGTTATGCTTAGTGATGCTTAGACAGATAAAAGTCGGGGGATTACCTGTCACCTGTGAGTTTTAAATGGATCTTTGATTACGTTTGGTTACTTATGTGATCATGAGATATGAGCATGTGGAGTAATAAATCTATACCGGGCGGACTCGGTGTAGGGGAGCCACAAGACATGGAGATCTTATGAGCGGGTTCTTTCCGCCTGTGTCGATTAAGAAATCGTCCGTTGTTGAACTGCATGAGGTGAGACTTTGTAGTACTAACCACATACTCCGGTAAACCTTAACTTGGCTATTCTATTACGAGAATGGCTACTCGCGCACTAGGAGTGGAGAGATGGCAGGAATAGCGTGTACCCACGTGGCAATGGGCTGGATTGGTGGAGTACTGTATTCTCGGGTGGCGCGGACCCGTTCTTGTTTTAGAGGATCTAAGGGTAGGTTGGTATATGTAGGTTGGAGACCTGCATATGTCGTGTGGTCTGGAATCCCCAGCTGGGTTTAATTGGTTTGATTCATCGTTGCTCCACGGTTATAGAGACTCAACTCACTGTTCATCATCGTAGTTAATAACTGGAACTTGAGTAAGGTTTGAGAATGTGTTGGATATGAAGTTTCATGATCTCATTACGGATCGTGTCAGCTTTGTATACGATCTTTTTGAAGATAAAGATGTTGATATAAAAGATTTTGTTAAAGAGCTTTTACGCAAAAGAACTTTGATTATCGCTAAAGCCCTACCTCGAATCTCTGAGCCTGCATTCCTGAGTTCTATCAGTTTTTATTTCGGTTAAGTCTTGTTGAGTATTTTTGTACTCAGGGTTCGTTGACCCTTGTTGCAGGTGAGCCTCATGAGCAAGTCTGTTTTGGGCCGTGTTGCATGACGGTTGTTCAATGCGATGACGATAAGTAAATGTGTGGCCCTTGGGCAGGGCACTTTAATTGTTTGTTTTGTATTATATTACTAATGCCACTTCACTACTATGGTTTGTAATGTTAATCGAACTTAGTTTGTAAGGTTTGAAATAAATGTTTTGTAAACTAAGTTATTGTAAGACTTCCGCCATTTTACTCTGATGTAGATATTTGAATAAATGTTGTAATACTACAGTGACTCTGTAATGTGATCCTGCTCGGAAATCGTGGATGATTCGGATTTCCCCGAGGACACCCGACAGTCTTCTTAAGTTACCAGGAACATATGCATAGTTGTCAGAGGTCGTCGGACAGTGACAGGTGCATGTGGGCCCTATAATTTAGGAGGTTCTGCCACATCATCATTTTGAGAACTATTTGCATAAAAATCGTTTCTATTTTTTTAACTCTCCAACAAATTTTGTATATCTTGTGCCTACTCTAAAAAGTCATTCTCGCTTTCTATATTTGGCTAGTGAGCTAAATAGAGAGTGGTTATACTTAGATAATAATCAAATAAACAAGCTTTTGAAAGGTATTTTTTACTAAAATCTCTATTCCTAACAATTACTTAAAGTATAAAGTCTCGTGGAGATGCTCTAAACAACCTAAATTCACTCCTATAAGAGGCCACACTTAGAACCCGGACGTGCTATTTAGGCTTTATAACCACTACACTACAACCCGTTCAAAAATTACAGTGCCGAAAAGTAGCTTGGTTATAAAACCTTGTTAAATCGTTCAGGGTCTAGGCCATACGAGTATATTACTGCATTAAAACAATTGCCTGTTCAGAAAATTAAGTTTATTCCTGCTATTGACACAATGTAATGCTGAACTTAACATATCAGCTGAAACTCTTCTTTCGGTACTACATTTAATTTTAGCACTATGGACATATTTGGTGCCAACACGAGTACATACAAATGAAATGGTTGCGCAGAATTCTATATCGCATCCGAGCCACCTTTTCTAAGAATGTTTGGCACCTTGATGACTTGATGGAACCTGATATTTATAGATGCAAAGAAATCTGCTGACATACTCCAGTTCACCGAATGTCGCCATGCATTTCCCAACTCATGCCCATTGTTTGGTGCGAGAGAAAAATATTATTTATTGGCTGATAAGTCATAGCTTATAAGTCAAATATGAACGAGTGAACATGCTGCGAGCTATTGGTTCATGCTAAAACTGGCTTTACTGCCGGTCAAACAGTGGATACATGGTGTTATTACACGCGGGATTGGCGTTACAGCCTGTTCGTATCGGCTGGAGCGATCATGGATTAGCTCTATACCGCACTTCGTTGTTTGTTCTTGCGCCCATGCGGGATCGGCCTTCTTCAGCTGCCTGCTCGGCAGAGGGCGGCGCCTCTGCGAAATTCCTCCGTGGATGAGCTTGCAGTAGTCCGACTACACGTGCACAACGAAGTTGCCGCTGTCCTCGTCGTCGTCGTCGTTCCATCGGCCGGAATCAGACATGCTCCGTCGCCGGCTGCCTTTCTTGCTCGACTCGAGGAGCGGTGTGCCGCCGCCACCGCCACTGGCCTCGTAGCTCACCTGGCACGCCTCCGCCTCAGCGGCGATCTGTTCGCACCGGATGAGCTGGTGCATGACCTCTTTCATCGACGGCCGCGTCAGCGGGTTCTCCCCCGTGCAGATGACGCCGAGCGTGAACACCGACAGGATATCCTGCATGTAGGCCGGCTCCTGGATGGCCTCGTCGACGATGTCGTCGAACGGCGCGCCTTTCTGGTACCGCCGCCATGCCCATTCCGCCAGGCAGAGGTCCGCGCCGCTGTCGTTGGCGACCTTGCCGGTTGTAAGCTCTAGCAGAACAACGCCGAAGCTGTAGACGTCCACCTTCTCGTTCACCTTTGGCCTGTACCCATACTCTGCAGAGATGCCATTGCCACACATCAATCAGCAATTCAGCACTGCAGCTGTAAATTCTCACAGATTGAAAATTGAAATTGAAATGGATGGCAACTGAAATCCCTGAGCTTCTAACCTGGAGCCATATACCCGAATGTCCCACCGATGGCTGACACGGACTGGGGCTCGCCGGACTTGACGAGGATCCGGGCGAGCCCGAAGTCGGCGATCTTGGCCTGGAAGTCCGGGTCCAGCAGGATGTTGCTGGACTTGACGTCGCGGTGCACGATCGGGGGAGCGCAGTCGTGGTGCATGTAGCTGAGCCCCTTGGCCGCATCGACGGCGATGGCGAGCCGGGTCGGCCAGTCCAGCGGGCGCGGGGCGCCTCCCGGTCTCGGTGGTGCAGCCACCGGTCCAGGCTGCCGTTCTCCATGTACTCGTACACCAGCAGCTTGGCTTCCTGGCTGGAGATGCAGCACAGCAGCTTCACGATGTTGTTGTGCCGGATGTTGCCCAGCACCTTCACCTCCGACTCGAACTCCTTGTCCAGCTTCTCGTCCACCTTCCTCGAGTTCCATATCCTCTTCACGGCGACCATCCTGCCGTCGCTGCCGCCGATGCCGCGCTCCTCGTCATGGCTGCCGTTGCCGTTGCCGTTTCCGAGGTGGATCCGGTACACCTTCCCGGACCCGCCGCTGCCGATCACGTTCTCCTCGCGGATGTTGTTGAGCACGTCCGACTCGGAGAAGTTGAGCTGGGTGAACGCCGTCATCTTCCAGTCCGTCACCTCGTGGCTCTCCTTCCGGCGCCGGAAGAGCAGCCACGCAATGCCGACGCTGCCGACGAGGACAATGGCAGCGAGCAGGGCGAAGAGGATGATCAGTCCCTTGGAAAGCTCGTCGTGGCTTCCCCGGCCTTCGCCTGGGCACGTCGGGAGGTTCGTGCCTGAGTCCGCCCTGGCGCAGAGCCGGTTGCCGAGGAAGCTCTGGTCGTAGGCCGCGATCTGCAGCTGCGCCGGCACCTCGCCGGTGAGCTGGTTTGATGACAGGTTAAGCAAGTTGAACGCGTTGCTTACGTCTGACGGGATGCTGCCGGTGAGCTCATTGTCGGACAGGTCAAGCATCGTCAGTGCTGGGAGAAGCCCGATGCTCCCCGGCGGTATGGCGCCGGACAGCCGGTTGCCTCTCATGTTGAGTGAATTTAGTTTCTGCAGCAGCTTGATCGATGTTGGGATGGAGCCAGAGATCCGGTTGCCGGGCACGTACAAGTCAGTAAGGTTGGCGAGCTTGCTCATGTCAGACGGCAGCTCGCCGCCCAGCCGGTTGTTCTCGGCATGGAGCACCATGAGCCCTGGTGCAGAGGCCGGGAAGGAGCCGGATAACATGTTGTCGCCCATCTCAATCCGTGAAATGTTGGGGGATATCTGGTCCGGCAGCGTGCCGGTGAAGCTGTTGTTCTGGATCTTCACCAAGGTCAGCTTCGGGAACGACCATATCTTCTCCGGGAAGTCGCCGGAGAAGTTGTTGTTGTGGAGCATCAGGTTGTTTAAAGTGCTGCAGTCCCCGAGTTCCGCGGGGAGCTCGCCTGAGAAGCTGTTGTTGAAGGCGACAATGTCGTAGAGCTTCCCGTTGGCGCAGAGCGACTCTCGCAGCGGGCCAGAGAGGTTGTTGACGGACACCTCAAGGTTGCCCAGCGGCGAGTGCTTGCCCAGCTTCGGCGGGAGCTCCCCGGAAAGCTGGTTTTGGAACAACCGGATGTCCCTGACCTGTGGTAGCAGCCCGATGCTCGCCGGGATGGTGCCGGTGAGCTGGTTTTTGTATAGAAACAGGTGGGTGAGGTTCTTGAGATTGCCGAAGTCTTCCGGTATCTCTCCGGTGAGCTGATTCGACGACAAATCAATCTGAACCAAGTTCAACGCTGTCACGCTGCGCGTCAGCTCGCCAGAGAGGCCATTGTCGAACAGGTAGATGAACTGGAGCTTATGATGCTGCCACACCCATGCCGGGATCGAGCCGTTGAGCTCGTTCGACGATAAGGACAGAGTAGTGAGCTCCGTGAGGCTGGAGAAAGCCTCCGGGATCTCTCCGGTGAGGTTTATTCTGTCCATCCAGAGATAGGTGAGGTTGGTCAGCTTGGCGAACTCCGCAGGCAAGGGCGCCGGCGCGAACGCGTTGTCGGCCAGCGTGAAGGTCTCGAGACCGGTGAGGCTGCTTATCTCGGCCGCGGGGTACGCGCCCGTGAAGTTGTTGGTGTCGAGCAGCAGGGACCTGAGCGCCGGGAACCCCGCCACCGCGGGCGGCACCACTCCGGTGAAGCTGTTGGTGGAGAGGTTGAGGTGCTCCATCACCGGCGAGAGGCGGTCGATGTCGCGCGGGAGCGGCCCCGAGAACTGGTTCCTGGAGAGGTCGAGGAAGGTGAGCCCCGCGCAGGCGTACAGCGCGGCGCCGGGGAAGGCACCGGTGAGGTTGTTGTAGGAGAGATCGAGGCGGGTGAGACTCTTGAGCGCGCACACCGATGCCGGGATGGAGCCGGTGAGTTTCAGGCTGGACAGGGTAAGCTCGGTGACGACCCCGCCGCCGCCCGTGGCGCACCTGACGCCGGTCCAGTTGCAGTGGTTGGGGGCGGCGGCGGGGTCCCAGGACTTGAGCTGCGGGGGGCTGCCCCACTCCTTCTTGACGGCGAGCAGCGTGTCGCGGTCGCTGGGGCCGGGGCCGGTGCCGGCGGCCGGCTGGGAGCGGCCCTCGCCGGCGAGGAGGAAGAGGAGCAAGACGAGCAGCAGGGGAAAGCGGCGGCAGCACGTGGTGGGCCCAGACATTTTGTTCTTTTTTTCTTCTTCTTGGAAGCTTCCTCGGCTGAGCTGTGATGTGAGGAGGTGAGGTGAGCTGCCGAGCAGAGGACGGGGAAGAGATGGGAGTGACGGCTGGTGTGCGATGCGAGTGCGTGCGCGGTTGTTGTACGTGTGAAAAGGGTGGGCGAGTCGTTGGTCAGCGCGTCAAGGGTCTCCGGCTACTGTTGGGTGGCCCAGCGATGCATAGTTAGTGGCGCACTCAGGGTGATGGATGCTAATCAAGTCTGTCACTTCTGTTAGATCGCTGGTAATAATAATAATAATAATATATAAAAGCACATGTTACATTTACATACTGTACGTATGCATGTATGTACAAATATCTATCTCTACATGGAGTAGAGACGGAGTCCGTGTTACATTACGTACTACTGTACACTCGTTCTGGAAACTTCTGCTGCCGGGGGACATGGGATGGGCATGGCACGCACCAAGTTAGGGATCAAAATTCGTGGCCAGGGAGAGTCGGCAGTCTCCGTCTCAAAAACTCCATCCAACTACTAGTCTATTCTATGGAAAACGAACCAAAATATCTACCACTAGCTAAGCTAGTAGTACTGCACTTGTTGCTGTGCGGTGTATGCATGCATCAGCCTGTTCGGGAGGCCGTATCGTATCGTAGATTATTTACTGTTGGCTGGTTTGGTATGAGAGAAAAACACTGTTCTCAGCTGAAAATTTACGATCGTTTACGAGGAAGCGAACATGCTGCGTATTGCTGCTAGCTGCCTCGCTGTAATGTGTCGTCATCTGTTTTGGCTGGGGTGACCCGTGAGCTCGCTCGCTGCTTCGGACTCGCACCGCACACGCACACGCACACGCACACGCACACGGGTGCTGCTTGCTTGTTTGGCGCCTTCCTTTCCCCTTGGCCGCCCGTGAGTCCATCATCGACTACGATCATCATCCATCTCCTATCTGCTCTGCTCACCTCTTCTTCTTTACTAGTAGTAAGAAGAAGTGCTCAGCTTAGCTGGGGGTTGGGGTTGGGCGTTAGTTAGGCTGGCGAGCTCCCACCGTCCCACCTGTTGCGTAGTTACGTGTGAAAAGGGTGATGGATGCATAGTTAGTGGCCCAGCGATCTTTGGCTGGTGCTTACAAGAAATCAAAGTTGCAATGCCTTTTGCATTCTTACTAAAAGAATCAACATACCCAAAACATGGGTGAATTAGATTAATTCTAAAATTCTTTGTAATAATTAAACTCTACACTTAGCTCACTTCACTCCTTGTGCCTAGAATATGATGCTATTGATCTACCGCACAAAAGTTTAACACCATAAGTTCTAATCCTACTCTAATATGGCAATTCTAAGAATGTAAAGATAAGAATTGAATTGTTCAAATATAAATGCTTAAAGTAAAGAGAGGAGAAGGAACGCGGCGATGTTTTGTCGAGGTATCAGAGAGTCACCACTCCCCACTAGTCCTCGTTAGAGCACCCGCGCAAGGGTGTAGCTCCCCCTTGATCCGCGCAAGGATCAAGTGCTCTCTATAGGTTGATTCTTCGACACTCCGTCGCGGTGAATCACCCACAACCGCTCACAACTTAAGTTGGGTCATCCACAAGCTCCACCGGATGATCACCAAACTTCCAATCACCATCAAGCCGTCTAGATGATGGCGATCACCAAGAGTAACAAGCAATGACTCTCACTTGACCACAACAAGCCTAATCAGAAAGGTGGATGCACACTTGCTACTCTCTTTTTGCTAATAAGACCTTAATGTTGGATTCTCAAATCTCAATCACCTCACTAGGCTCTTGCTCTCCTTGGCACTCTCAAGGGTGTTTCTTAACTGTTAAAATAGGTAAGAGTACTCACTTGAATGAATAGAGGAAGTATTTATACTTCCTCATTCAAAACGAACCGTTATGTGCCTCTGCGAGGTGACCGGACGCTCCGGTCAAGGTGACTGGACGCTCCGATCAGTTCTCCCCGCCACTGAGCCGTTAAGTTGTGATCGGACTCTGACCAGCGTCCGTTCACAAAAACTGCTCTCTGGAACCTTACTGATATTGACCGGACACTGGAACCCAGAGTCCGGTCTCTTCGCTGCTCAGCGTCCGGTCAGTAACCGGAACCTGACCAACGTCCGGTCAGCACTGATCGGACGTGTCCGATCAGGATTCTCCCTCTCTGGAACCTTACTGGAGTTGACCAGACTTTGGCACCCAGCGTCCGATCATATTTCACTCAGCGTCCGGTCGCAACCAGACGGCTTCTGCTTGATCAAATGAACTGACCGGACTCTATTGTCAGCGTCCGGTCACACCGGAACCAGCGTCCGGTCAACATTTGACCCTCCATTCACTTCCAAGTCGACATCATATGTGAATGAAGTTTGCTCCAATTGATCTAAGGGCTACTTTGGAGCCACCTAGTGCTAGATTTGACAAGTGTGCACCACACCTAACCCACTAAACTCATCTAGGTCAAGCTAGTAGTCCATACCCTCCTTAATAGTACGGTCAAAAGAAAAACAAAGTCCTAAACTACTCTAAGTGTCTCTTCAACACCAAACGACTCTTAGAACTAGTCCATTATTAACCTTGTCGTCCATCCTTTGAAAACCAAAATGATTTCCATCGTAGGGGCATGACAACCATGACTGCCCAATCAATTACCATTACCACGACCTAACTTAATTGCATCTGCAAAACACGCGTTAGTCACAGTAATCTCGTATTATCATTAATCACCGAAACCCAACTAGGGGCCTAGATGCTTTCAATCTCCCCTTTTTTGATGATTGATGACAATACAACCTCGAGTATATAAAAGAGATGAGGTTTTCAATATGCTTGGTTCATATAAGCTTTTGATAATAAGAACAACAAAGTTAGGCAAGCTTATATGACCCAAACCAACATGATGTACTCAATAGATATGAAATAAGCATGAGTACAAGAAATAAAGTTCATTTGCATCGAAGTAAAAACGCAGAAGCAAACCAAATGAGCATAATGAAGTGACATGACATATATAAGGATCAAAGTAGAGAGCACACATGTCACATATCACATAAATATCACGATCACACGTATGTAGTTCAATGCATGAAAGTAAACATGAATTCATAATAATGTGTCACACATAAAAAACCAAAAGTAATAAATAAGCTCCCCCTAGATATAACGCTCCCCCTATGTTCATCATACTCGATCCCTCTCCCCCTTTGGCGTCAAACACCAAAACCTAAGGGTCTATCGGTGGGGCAGGAGCAGACGAGTCGGGCGCTGAGGCGCGATGAGCGATCTGAAACTGGGTAGCATCATCCTCCAATCTGGAGCTCTGAGCTATCTGACCCTCTATCACTAGAAGTGACGCTGAAGCGGTCTGGGTCTGCTCTAGAACTGGTGCGGCCTGTGACTCTACAGGTATAACTGTAGCAGGTGGCTCTAATGATGCAACTGATGAAGGGAGTGTCTCTGTAGTCCCAGTGACTGGAGCAACGGTGGAAGGTCCAGGGGCACGTAGCTCTGGTGGTGTAGGCTGCCCTATCAACTCACTGAAAGTAGCACCAAGACTCCTAGAGACTGGGGTGTCTGTCACAAGCAACGATGAACTTTGAGCCGGTGTGAAGCCTGTATGTAGAGGTGTGAAGGAAGGACCTTGGGCTAGCACTGGCGAAGCAAACCACTAGGACACCTGCTCTATAGGTGAAGCGAACTGCATAGCTGGCTATCCCTGACTCTGAAGCCCACTGGGCTGAAAACCTGAAGTCACTGTAGTGGTAGCAGGCTGGCCTATCTGAGGTGTAAGCTATGGTGGTGGAGCCCCAATAGCAGTAACAACATGCTGCGTGAAACCAAGTAACTACTGCTGCATGAGGAGCTGCTGCTGGATGGCCTACTGCTGTCGCTAGAACTCGTCCTGTCTGGCCTGAACCTGTGCAAGTGTAGCTGCGGTCTCCTAGGCTTGACGAGCCTGATCCTGCCTCATCTGCTCAAGAATAGCAAGTAGAGTGGGTCTGTCTGTGGTGGCTGTGGTGGAGCTGAGCTGGAGCCACCGGCCTCACTGTCATGTCATCGAGGAGGCATCCGAGGGATATCCTAGTAGTCATCATCTAAACTGTCACTGGGGTCGCTCTCGACCATACCCTCCTACTGAGCATCTAGCTCCTCCTCCTCTATAGCTGCTACGCCCCTGATGATCTCATCCTACTGGGCTGTAGTCTCTGGCACCTCTGGGTGACGACGCGGTTGACTAGGTGTCCTCACTGCACTGTGGTGGAGCATCTGTGTCATGTTATATGTAGGGAACTCGGTAGTAGCACCAAAATACTCTGCCAACATCTTAGGAGGCCTCACTGTGACTGCCCTATGAATCAAGAATGTAATCTAGTGAGCATAAGGCAATTGACGATGACCCCTAAACCCCTCTGCAAGTGTATCCTCCATCTCAGATAGAATGACATCCCATACATCTAACACTATCTGCTGAATTAGAGAGTTCAATAGCCATAACTGAATGCGAGTCAACCCCTTGCGATATCCTATCCTCGGTAGCAGGGCCCTCCTCATGATAGCATCAAGCAGTCTAGCTGTAGGAGTAAGATCCCTAGGTGTCCTGCTCGACCCCTCACCGAATGGCTCTGTGAAGCAAGGTCAGATGAGATCTGTGGGAGGCACAAGATCACCGTGAGGGCATCTGGGAGGCTCTATGTGACCATAGCAAACCTCATGTAGCCGAATAGGTGACTCCTGAAGCCTAAGAATCTCTTTGACCCTAAAGCTCATCAATATGTAGTCACGGCCTCTGAATGCAAAGTGAATGAACCTGTGCCTCGGGTTAATCCAAAGTGTAGCATAGAACTCACAGACCCATGATGATAAATATCGGCCTGTCCATCTAAGTAAGTCTGTCAGCCCTGGCAAGCAAGGGAGGTGAGGATGTATCTGCTCTCTAGCTGCTGCTACAATGGCCTCAATGGAGCAAACCCTCTGTGACCTGAATGCAACCC